TTTCACGTGGAACGCTTGTGGCGTGCCTGTAGACGCCAGGTCGTACCCAGTACTTAGTGAGTGGAGTGGTACCCTCACTCACAGAACTCATGGGAGTTGAGGGTATCCTCCGGCAAGATTGCCTGACGTCGTTGACGCTTACGACCGGGCACATCATGTGCCGAAGCGCCACCATGGCGTGCGACAGCGTCGCCAGGCGCTGGGGCCTCCCACTAGAGTGAGGAGCGATGAGGTCAGTAGTTGAGCTCAGGCTCTGACCAGTAGCTGCAGCAGCCAGCTCGTACGTATGAGCGGTGCTCGCAGCGGGAGCGGGAGGTGGAGAGACCTCGTAGTGTTAGGGACATGTCCCCGAAGAAAGCAGGTGCTTTCGGTGTTGTGCTGAACAAGGTTCAGGCACAAGCGTCTCGATAGACGCATAGTTGTTTTGAACCACTTTGCTCGATGAGCATGATCCAAATGTGGATGCGCTGTAACAGCGAAAGTGGTGTCCCGCACGGGGATCGAACCACTGGCCCTTTGCTTTGACAGGCCGAAGCTCTACCATTGAGCTACAAGGGCGATGCCCGTACGTCAGTCCGAGAACGGACTACTCATGGTATGAGAGGGCTGCGCCCGGGTGGATTTGAACCACCGACCTGTGGCTTTCAAAGCCAGCGCTCGACCACTGAGCTGAAAGGGCGTTGCCCTTAAGCTTGTCCATTCAAGGACAACAGTTCATGGAACGAGAGGGCTGTGCCCTGGCGGGTTCGAACCACCGACCTGTGGCTCTCAAAGCCAACGCTCAACCATTGAGCTAAAAGGGTGTTGCCCTTAAGCTTGTCCAAGCGTGAACAATCGTTCATGGAACGAGAGGGCTGTGCCCTAGTGGGTTTGAACCACGGACCTATCGCTTGTGAAGCGAGTGTCCAACCGCTGAGCTGTTGTCGACGACTCGAATGAGTCAAGAGCATTGCTCTAAGCGGTTTGCAGCTCTTGGAGTAGGCGCGGAGCGCGAGCGTAGGTCTGAGACCGCTTGAGAGCAAGATGCGCGCTGCGCTTGGAGCATTGGGCCGTGGGCCGACGACAAGAAGTTGGGCATCAACGATGCGTAGGCGTTTGTGAGCTCACGGAGCTGTACAACGCTGGTGTGAGGTGTAGTAACCTCCGCCGTCTTAACAAGACGTGACCTCGCTGAGGAGAGTTTCGAGAACGGAATGTTCTCATCTTAGTGGGGGAGAGTGTAACGGGGTTACATGGTGTGGAGCACACAGGGGTACGAAGTACCCGGAGAGTTAACAAACTCTCAGTACATAAGTTGGAGAGTTAACAAGGTCTCTCAGTACGTTGGCTGAAAGCCACACGTTATGCATTTGATTAGGTTTAACTATGCTAGATAGTTAAAGAGATACATTTACCCCTAGGCGGCTTGGCCGCAATAATAGTAAATAAAAGACTTCTGGTTTTGAAGCATAAAAGTTAAGGTATTAACTTTGAGCCCTGGTCTTGGGCTGTAAGTGTCCTTTGGATAAGGAACTTAGTATTAGTGACTCTTTGAGTCGAACGTCTTCCTCTGACGCTAAAGCTACGGCAGCCCCGCTGCAACAATCCAGTGTGCCCCATGTTACATAAAGAGTGGCCCGTCACTCTTGTGGACACCTGGTACACGGTACCAGGTGCTCTCGGAGCCAGTCAGTGCATGACTACTTAGCTCCACTATAGGTAGCATCTAGTTTGTATGAGACCCAAGCTTATCTTACTTATAAATACATCAGTCTTAAATCTACTCCTCTAAGTAGCAAATCGTTCCCACTGAGGCCGGGAACACGTGGACTTACGTTCACTCGGGTAGTTAATACCCTTAAGCACTTCCTCTGTGCAAGGTGCTGTGTGACCCCGTCACAGACTACGAGTGCTACCAAGTGTGACGGGGTCACACAGCACCTTGCGCTAGAGAAAGTTAGCTTGCGAGAGTATACAAACTCTCAGTGAACGGCAGTTCACAGGTCCCCTCTTTATTCAAAAGAGAGCGAAGTGACCTATTTAAGGTAGAATGTAAGCTGAGTATATTTATAGGCAGATGAAGCTTGGGTTTAATACAAACTATAAGTCACCTAAAGAAATGCAATGTCGTCAACCAATGGTTGGCTTTGAACGACCTTGGTACCTAGTACCAAATATCCCGAAGTATGACGTGTCATACTTCTGAAGCGTGACGTGTCACACCTCATGTAACCAGGGTACACCTAGGGCTACGTACCCCGTTACAAACTTCCTCTAGCGCAAGGTGCTGTCACAACACCACGCGCCGTCTCAATGCACTACAGGGGTATGCGTGTGACATTCACAGTACTTCGGCCCGTCATCCAAGTTGGAAAGAGGAAGATGAAGTGTCTAGCTACTGTATTTGCACTTGTAGAGTACCTGATACTGTATAGGGTGTCGTTGAAATAGTTCTTGTAATACACCAGAGCAATGAGTGTCCATTTATTTTTGTCACGCACGCTCAGAGTGCGTACCGGTACTGTACCGGTACCATTCTGGAAAAAAAACACTAGTTCAACTCCTGAATCACCGGGCGCGGCTTGTTGCTTGGCTTTTCGAGCCGCATCCGGAACGACAACTGCTCCTGCTGTTCTTTCTTCGCACTTAAGCTGGAATCGACAACTTTTGTCTGTGCCTCTGGGTCAACTGCTGTCTCCGCGTTTTCGTCGTCGCTATTGCCCTCGTCCATCATGCTCAACGCAAAGTTCTGTCGCAGCACAGCAAAAGTAAGCGCCAGGATAAAACAAACTTATAGCAACGAACGTCGCCATCAAATTTCATCGCTGCTAACCATTTCAATAACGGGTGCTTTTCCGCCCTTCTTCGGTTTCGTATCCTCTTCGCTCCCACCAGTCATAGGTTCGTCGCTATCGTCGTCACTTCGGTCTTCGGCTTCTTCCACTTCGATGTTGTGCTTGGCACCTTCGCCCGCTGCTACGGCATCACTTAGTTTTTTGTTCTCCTCGGCCATCACAGGCAGGAACGCTTCAAGTTTGGAGAGCACTGTCGATTCAATAGCATCAACACAACCCTAAGACCTTTAGTCAAGCTTGCAATATTCAACGCACATGCACTCTGGGGCAAATTCGGAAACGTCGGCGGCTTCAGTTTGTCCTGCATTATGCTTGTATTCTGTACTTTTGCCAGCCACGCACAGCACGATCTATCAGCATCTCCCTACCAATTCAACACAATTATTTACAGATGTAGTTGCAGTCCTCACCTTGTTGTTTGGGCAAGTGTCGGGGCCGCGCTTGTTCGAAAAATCTCTCCCGTCCACGAAGTCCGTCAGTCAAAATGTGACTCACAATATGGCTGCGTACACCAAAAGCACATAATTGTGTGTTTTACACAGTGTGGCTTTAAGGTGCTCTGCAGCAGGTGCTGGGCCACGACGACGGCATCTTCGGTGCAGTGCGAACCAACGACGCCGATGCTGCGCTCGCTGCAGACGAGAATTGTCTGGCACTGCGAGGCTCCCGTGCATGTCGCGTTTCTATTGGGCACTACGAGTTGGGCAAGCGCATTGTGCCGAGATGCAGATCACTCGCCTCCCTTACGTACGCGTCCAACAATCCCCTTCACCTTACGAGGGCGAAAACATTCTGCACATCGCTATCATCCACCGTCGGACAGAGCTCGTTCAGTGGTTAGAGAGATGCACCACAGCTGGTTCGTGCTGAGACCACCGGCGAGTTCTTTGGTTCCACAAAGGCCTGCTACTCCCCTGCTCTTCGCCCTAGCGTCTAACCAGATTGACATGGCGCTGCATATTCTAGATGCCGCGGAGCGACTACACGAGGAAGACGAGGGAGATGATCTGGCGTCCATTTTTACATACGATCGGATCGGTAACAACGGGCTCCATCTCGCCGATATCCGCGACTTTCTCGACGTCTACGATTTCGCGCTGCGGTACGTCATGACAGAGAAGCAACTTACACCGATCAAAGTTGGTCCAGTTATATTAGAGGAGATAAAAGCAGGTAATGAGATACATGAAGTGGAGAGCATGAAAGTCCCTTCGAAGTCATCATCGACAAAAGTGGCCTTTTACACCGTCTTCTGAATCTTTCAAAGCCCCGGCGACTCGGATATGAGAAAATTCATCACCTCCTGGTGCAACGTAACTGTGACGAGCTAACTCCACTCTCTCTTTCTCGCTGCTGCTATCGGACAGCAGCGAATTTTTCAACTCCTATTCAACCACTCGTCTTCAATCGCGTGGCGCTTGGACCCCATCACAGCAATCCACGAACGTTATTTTATCTACTCTAGAGCAGCCAGAACTGGTATCAGCTCCAAGCTCCAAACTGCTTGCATCCCTGCCGTATCCGTTAGCATGAAAAGGATCCAGTGTCTCTGCTCGACGGAGAAAACCCTTAACACGCTTCCGGGACACCATAAAATCCTACAAGCTGTGGTGTCACAACGTCTTGAAATGCTAAAGATGATAGCGTCTGGCAGTAGTATACTGTGTCTTCCTCGTGTTGCTGAATGCAGCTACACTCGCTCCTTACAGCAAATACACGGCGGTTCACGAGGGGAAGTAGCAGAATTGGGTGTTGCCGAAGTGGGGGTCTAACCCTTGCAGCTCTGAACGAGAGCAATCAGATTCTACCAAACTCTCAGGGCTACGTCACGAAAGGTGGCGCTGGTCGTCTGAGCAATATCTGCACTACAGTAACGAGTACTTTGCTCTTTGTGTCCAGAGCCGCTCGCTTGGAGCAAAAACAAGAAGTGGGGGGCTCTTGGCGTTGTTGCACTCATCTTCGCTTGGTTTAACATTTTTTCTTTGCTAGGTTGTGATCACGAATGATATGGTGCGTTTTTTTTTCTTGGTTTACTGCGCAGTTCTGGTTGGATTCTCGCACGCCATTAATCTTGTATTTTATACACGATGGCCGAGTTCGACCGCACGCGTTGTTTGTGCGGATGCGTACGCTGCTCGTCATGGGCTTCACGGGTGAGGTTAACTATGACAACAACTACGGCTCAGGCGGTCGAATGAATTCCTTCACCCAAGTATTGGTGCTCTGCTACATTATCCTCGTCATGATTGTCCTCGTCAATTTGCTTTACCATGTGCGTCCACTATAGTGTTTGTGTGATGTCTACCCCCGTCTTCTGCTAAATCATCCTTTGTCTGCTTGTTATGATACTAGTAGTAGCGTTAGAATGGGAAATACGTACATCGAGGTGGTTGAGGAACCAGAGCGAGCAAATATAATCGATTCCTCAGCAAAATCGTAACGGGGAAGGCAGGTTGAATCTCGAGATGGAAATGACGAAGCTCGATGAGTGGATGCACGACGATAACTGAAGCAACAAAAAACGTAATGTTCCTTTTCACGCTGCGGGAGGAGACAATGGCCGCCTCTCGGTCATTTCGGCAGATTCGATGCCCATGTCATCTTTTTGATCCGAATTCGTCACTGGAATCTCTTTTGACAGAAGACCCTCAAACTTTCGGATTGTGCTTCGATCTGTTCGTTGCCAGTGACTGTACCTGGCGAGGCGGAACGCATTGGGTTATACTGTTCCGTGTTGCTACTTGCGGCCTTGAGCTTTGTATGCAGCAGCTGATTCAATACTTTTTGCTGTATCGCCAACCGCTTGTGCAGCACTCGATTGCACTCCTCCAGGTCTTTTTTCAAGTGCTTTCGATGGCATCTCGACTGTCTGCGTTTCAATAGTATTTTTGTCTTCAGAAATTGCACATACAGTACGCGGTAGTCTCTCTGTGCGATTCTCTGCCTGGGGTTCCCCAAGCCGTTCTAGAACAGCAGTCTTAAACTTGTAAAGATGGTCAGAAAAATAGTGCTCGTTGTCAACGTGGATTTGCCCTGAATCAACTCCATACTTCACAACGAGATCTTGTCGATTAGCACACTTACTATGATGCTGATATCTGCAATCTTGAATTTGCTCAAAAAGTTGCTACGTCACCTCAAAGAAATTAGTCGAGTTCCTCCCGCTCGCGAAAAACAATGCTGCCGATCGGTCTTACCTGCATACGTGCGATACTAGCTTTCGTCTTTGCGTCAGCAGACAACCTCTCCACCTTATTTGTAGCTACATCGTCTTCGTCCTTCGCAAAACGCACGTTGTTCCTCCTCATCGCTGCTTTCATCGACCCCAGCGTCTCTGTCTGCGTAGATCGCGCCATCCTGGTGATCGAGGGCGGAACAACTGCAGCCGCTGCTTTCAATCGTTTCACCTCCATCTTTAGCTGTTTCGTCTCATCCTCATGGTATTTGATGATACCCAACAGAGCCTTCACGCTGCCATCATATTCGGCCATCCACTCGGTCTCCTTCCGATGGAGCTGCAGAGCCATCGCCGTTTCTGCTTGGGTTGTGCGTACTTGCAGCTCTGCTATATGAATCTCTGACTGTTGCCTAGCGACTTCAAATTTCTTCAGCTCAACACGAAGGCGGTGGTTCTCATCTAGTAGCGAAGCGATGACGCGATGCCGAGCCTGCATCTCACTGCGACCGAAAGGGCATGTAGCCATCCTTTCAGACTGTAGCCATCACACTTTCAGAAACGAGTCGCAACATAACCTTGACAAATGTTGCATTAGTCGCATAACCCGGCCAACAGCACGTTTATGCGAGGTTTAAATGTTGCACTTTAGGTGGGCGGCTCAGAGCCGTACAGTGCATCATCACGTCAGGACATGAAGCCCTTCCTTGAGCGCGGGGTTACCCTCGTGGCCCATGCGCGTCACGTGAGCAGCCTACGTGAGCAGGCCGTACGTGTCATGGCCAGCAAAATCCGCGCAGATCTTGAGTCAAACCCCAACCTGTGGCTCAGTGCTTCTGCTGTGGTAACGTCCTGCTGTCTGAGAATTAATCTGCTGATTGCCTCTAACTTCAGCAACTCAATCGCCTACTATAGGACGAACCCACCGTTTCCATCCTGGATCCAGCACCTGGATATGCACTCGCTGGTGGAGGCCCAGAACTGCACCATAATCTTAGTCTCGACTTCGATCAGTGAGACTCTGCAAAGCAATACCGCCAGTGGGGATACAGCGAACTGATCTTTACTATTCATTACTGCTGCAGACCCATGGACAATGTGGGTGTGCCGCTGGCCTATCTACCTACAGACTCGAGCAATCTGGCCGACCCGTTCACCCTCGTAGAGCAGGATATGGTGAGTGTCAATCACAGCATCAAGCGCATCCTCGGATCGGATCACCCCGTGCTGGCCGCAGTGGCGCGTTACTTCTTCGAGCACGATGGCGGTAAGAAGGTGCGCCCCACAATGGTGCTCCTGGTGTCGCGAGCTGCCGAGGCTCACCGTCGTGCCACGGACACCCCATTGCCAGAGACACAGTCCGAGGAGTACATGCACGCTGCACAACAGCGACTCGCCGAGATAACGTACGTCTGTGTGAGATCTTGAGACTATGTTGACATAAATTCCGACTCTTGTTGCCTGTCGTTACAGTGAGATGATCCACACGGCCAGTTTGATGCACGACGACGTGATCGACGAGGCGGACACACGTCGCGGCCGTCCGTCCGTGAACAAAGTGTTTGGTGGCAAGATGGCCGTATTGGCTGGCGACTTCTTGCTGGCGCGTTCATCCGTACTGCTAGCTCGTTTACGCAATCTGGAGGCGGTGGAGCTCATGTCCACGTCAATTGAGCACTTGGTCAAGGGCGAAGTCATGCAGATGAAGAATGCCGACGCTCGTGACGACATTTCTCCCTTCGAGTACTACTTACGCAAAAATTACTACAAGACGGGATCGCTCATGTCCAACAGCTGCAAAGCGGCTCTGGCACTGGGCAAACACGACCAGCACATCTGCGATTTGGGCTTCGCGTTTGGCCGCCACATCGGCCTTGCCTTCCAGGTAATACATAACAAACACATGTTGAAGCTGATGTAAAAAGGCGAATTCGACGGTCGAAAAATACGAACTAACCTTCCTCTTGCTGATTCAGCTGATTGACGACGTGCTGGATTACGAGGGCGTTGAAACCGGTAAACCGTTTCTGGCCGACCTAAAATCAGGCTTGTCGACAGCTCCGTTGCTGCTCGCACAGGAGGAATTCCCTGTTCTACGCGAACTGTCCAAGCGGAAATTTGCTCAGGAGGGCGACATTGAAATGGTCTGTGCAGAAGTATGATATTATTATCGGAGAGCATACATTTGCTAACGTTTATTGTCGCGCGGTGCAGGCCAGTGAGCTGGTGGAGAAGAGCTCAGGAATCACACGATCAAAAGCGCTGGCAATCGGCCAGGCAGAACTGGCAGCTCAGGCGGCCATGCAGTTCGCTCCTTCACCTGAGCGAGATGCCATGGTGCGACTGGCTCAGAAAGTCGTGTACCGATCCAAATAGATGTACTACTGTACACACGCACGGAGGTGAAAGCAAAATGATAAAAGTTTTATTTTTCCTTAACTGAGACGGAGCTGCGACGGCCTCCGTGTCACCAGCACAGCTCGACTTGCTGCTCGTGATTGTCCAGACGTTTTTTTTTTCTGTTTGCACGTGCCAGTTAGGATCCAGCCAGGAAGAACCAAAGCCTCGTCGCAGAAGAAAAGCGACGTCCCCGTTAAAGCATTTCACTATTCACCAAGCAGACATGGGCATCCAACTCCGTAAGCTGATGCGATCTCGCGTGATTGTCGTGTTTGGCGCTACCAGTCGCATCGGTCGCTCAGCGTTGGAAGTGCTAGCGGGACAGGAACAAGTTTCTGTGGCTCTTGTGGCCGCAGTTGAAAGCAGCAAAGATCCGCGAGTCCAGCGCTTGAAACACAACACCAACTGCTTTCTCGTGCAGTGCAATTTCGCCCACGGAGGAGAAGATTCGCTCCGTCGTGCTGTACGCAATGCAGACGCTGTGCTTGTCGTCCCCGCGCTGTCCGAGAGTGGAGTGCGCTTTTCGAGGCGTGTTGTCGACGCTGCAGCGGCTGAGCGAATCCCACGACTCGTAGTGATCAGCAGTATTTTAGCTGCACCTGAGTTATTGGCTTGCTGTCGTCGCGAGCATGCGAAGGAGCTACCTGCAACGGAGGCTGTCGGTGCGACGCCTACTGATGTTGCGGCTTTGGAAGGCTACGAGGCGGTGGAAGTCCACGCGAGGAACCAACTCCCTGAACCAGGCCGTTGTGTGTGCCTACGGATTCCTCTGCTTATGGAGACGCTTCTCTACTGCCGAGACGAGTTGCTGTTCGCCAACCGATTCATTGGATGCTTCGACGCGGACACTCACGTGCCCTGCATCTCCGTCCGTGATGTCGGATACGCCGCTGCTGAAGTGCTGGCAAACCCGAAGCGGAAATATGAGTCTGTGTATCGCCTGACAGGAGGAACCAACGCCAGCTGCAGCCCCAACCAACTGGCTCGTTATTTAACGGACTTATTAAAACGAGTGATCAAGTACCGCCAACTGAGCGACGCGGCTTTCTTGCGCGTTCTGAAGGATAAACACACACCCGAGCAAGTGGCACAAGGCACTGTTGGTCTTCGGATCTTCCTGGAAGAAAACTCGGATAGTGAAGCTCGCAGTTTGCCAGTTCAAGCAGAGGAAAGAGAGCCCCGTACACTGCATCTACCCGACGCATTCCACAGCACGAGCGACTATCGACTGCTGACCAAGCGAGACCGGATGAATCCTCGCCAGTGGCTTCAACGTTATGCGTCTGCGATGTTCGCTAAGACGCCGCAGAACCAGGTGCAGCTGTTTGTCGTAGGCTCTGGCGAGGCTCTGTTTCTCGAAGTGAGCAAGTTCGTGGCCAGTCAAATCACTGCACCGTCAGCACTTCCGCCGCGTGATGTTGGTGAGAGTGCCATTCCGACTGTTCTCCCTGGTCGACACAGTGGAGATGAGAAACTTCAGCAGACAAAAGTGACCTTGTGCACTGTTAAGGCTGCCCCGGGAGGGTCTGGACGCACCAGAACTTCTGGAGTGCCGCTGCCTTCAACCGTGTGCCAGCTCGAAGGAGCTCCTCCTTATCCGATGGCAGACTTGTTAAAGCAGCTTTCATCACTGGATGTTGTGCTGCTTATCCCTCCACTTCGCCTTGGAGGCAGAGCTTGTCTGGACGTGGTACGTGCCGTCGTGCACTCTGCTGTACGTGCGAATGCCTGGGGAGTGGTGCTCGTCAGCTCGGTCTTCGTCGAGTCTCCTACTTCGCAGCACAGCGCGATTTTGGAACAACTCGAGGAGATTGAAAGTTGCGTGAAGACGTCGGGAGTCTCGTACACGATCATGCGTCTCCCATTGTTCATGGAATATTTCCTAGCGTTGTCGAATTGCGACGAAACCAGTGATAACCTCGGTAGTCTGGAAGAGGAGAAACGTGAAGTGCCTATTCTCGTTAATGAAGAGGAATTTGAAGCAGAAGTCGAAGCCGAGACGCAGGACGAAGTGGAGACAGGAGAAATGCAGGCGTCGATGTCGTCTCCTCCGTCGCACATGATGTGGCCTCTTCTGGAGCCGTCGCTGGCGTCTTCGCGAGTGTATCTGATGGCGCTCCAAGACGCAGCAAAGGCTCTGGTGGCTGCAGCCTTCACGTTCCCACTGCATCGAGGAAAAACCAAAGAGCTCTACACTTCCAGTGTGACATTGAAGGAAGTGCAGCGTACTCTTCAACGACACGCCAACAAGGCTCGTCCCGTGCGTTTGAGTCGCGTAGATGCCTTAAAAGAACAACCGGGTCGAGAGTTCTGGCGCGTTGCATACTGGCCGCGAGCTCACACGCAGCAGTTTCTCGAATGTGCAGTCGAGTTCACGAAGGATGTGCAGACGGCAGTGGAGACTTCAGCGGCAGTTGGTGGCGAAATCGACACGAGTGCAATGGTTCTGCCTGTCTCGCAGAGTTTCGAAGATCTCACTGACATACCGCCGATTACTCTCGACAAATGGGCGGAAAACAACTCCAAGCGCTACACACAAGTGCTCGCCGCGCACTGAGCTGACGACTGCTTCTCGTCTGATCTGTCCGTATCGTATTTCACTGTCAGTGCCAACCTCTTAATGCTCGACGAGAATTCAAATAGGTCAACTTCAATTTTGCTTCTGCATATTCAAGTGCATGCGCTTCCAACTCTTTCTAATGCAACTCCAATGCCTAGTCTCGGATTTTCTTCCAGGCCGTCACAGCCTCCGCTGTCACACGGGCTTCTTTTGCGCTCTCCTGCGTGAAAACAGGGACTTCCGCTGTCGCGAGTAACTCAAACCTGTCTTCCAGCACCGCAGGCGTCGCCTCATCACTTGGCACCACCACCAGAACCTCACCGCATTTCACTCGGGATCGGAGTTTGGCAGCAGCAACTGTACCTTCGCGAGCCACTAGAGGCTTGTCCGTCACGCCAGAAGTCGACGAAGCCACAAACAACCCGAGAGCTTGCTCACTCTTGCGTTGGAGGTCCTCAAAGAGACTTCTGCAGCTCCATCCTGACGCTTTATTCGACTCTTTAAAGGCATCCGACACCACCACACGCTCAGTTGAGCGGAACGGGTTTCCGTTCACGTATGGGGGTGGAGCGTTCACGTCCGTCGTCGCCAGAGTGATGGCTCCGTCGTCGTCCATCGTCTGCTCCACGACACGAAAACCGGCGTGCTGGAAGAAATGCGGACGGAAATGATAGCGCGCGAACTTGGACGCTCCGTTGTCTCCGGCACTAGCGAACGAGCCACCCACGATCACGTTGTGCTCGCCGTCGAAGCATGGCTCACTGAAGTCGTCGTAGTAAGGGTGGACACGGAATCCAGGCAATGCCGAGAACCTGTCTTCGCACCACTCCCAGGCGTTGCCGAACACGTCGTGGAAACCTTGAGATGTCGGAGGCATGGCGTCCACAGGGGAAAACGACATATAGGACCAGTTAAGATTCTTGCCAGTAGCGGCAGCCATGTTTGTGCCTTCCGGAATCGTCAAAATGTCGTCCGAAGACGCGTCGGCAGAGCGGTCCTTTGCGTCACGCATCAGCTGATGGATCGGCTCGGTTGTGAGGTGGTAAATCATCTTCTTGTCTGTTTGCTTAGCTTGCTTCCACTTACAGAAGGCCTGGGCTTCGTGTAAATTGACCTGAGCAGGCCAGTTCCACTGCATCGGCACCACATCAAAAATGACACGCAACTTGAAACGCTGACTGCCCGAAGGTCCATCCTGCACCCAGAAGGCCGGCCACTTGGTGTTGCGAAAGCAGCGCCATTCCCAGCCCCACTTGCTCCAGAAGGACGGCTCAAGGTAGCCTCCATCACGCACAAACTCGCCGAACTCACCATTAGATACAAGGAATTTGGTAGCTCGACAGGCCGACACGTCCACCTCACGGTGTCCGTATTCGTTGTCCCACCCGAACGACGGAAAGTCACGTGGCTTGCCAATCTGCACCTTGGCGGCCTGTACATCCACGAACTCGTTGACCGGGTAGTCAACGCTAGCAACCGGATGCAGTGCGACTTCCTTATTGTCGTGCGTTAAAGACTCGTGATAGTCGGGCAGTAGTGAGGTGCTCAGGAAGAATTCGACCGGGTGTTCAAGCATAAGCATGGAGGACGTCTCGTGATGGATCCGCTCGTGCTCGAGCCCCATCAGCAGCGCCCATAACGGACTGTCCTCGTTTATCAGGTCGTGTCCAGGCACCAGGCCCGGGTGCAACTCGATAACGCTGCGAATGAGTTGGTAGACTTGGCGACGGTAGCCCAGAACGTCAGCCACGTGTGGCCAATGCATCTCGTTCTTACTCATGTCATCCCAACGCATTTCGTCCACGCCCACCTCAAAGATTTGCTCAAAGTGAGGATTCACAGGCTCCTGGATGAGACCCGACACAAGGAATTTGTTGACAAAGAAGCTGGTCGGGTGGCCGTAGTAGAAGATGAGCGGGTGACGAAGCTGGTGCGGCGGTGCCGTCATGAAGGCTCGCTCGCCCTGTAGTGCAGCGAACAGCGCGTCCGTCATAGCCCACGAATTGTCGAAGTAGTCAAGCATCTCCTGACGCGAGCATGAGAGGAGATTTGGCATTCTGCTGGCGTTCAGGCGACCCGTGGCGCGGTCGACGCCTGGAAACGTCGGATCCGTGCGTGGGTTGCGCGCAGTGGTAAACCAGTCGTCTGCGCGCTCCCCAAAGAGGAAGCTGTCATCATAGACGTCCTGGTGCAGCGGCTGCTGGTCGTCCTCCAGCACGCTTGCGGTGGAGGTGGCGAAGGCGGAGGATTGGCTCGTTGAGGGCTTTGAGTGCGCCGATCTACTGTTGACAGGTGCAGAGAATGCCGACAATGGCGAGGCCAAATGCAGCGGAGAAGGATACATGTAGTAACGAGCAGAAGGACGAGCAGTCACGGAGGCCGCCATAGTAGACGAAGACAAGTCCCGCGTAGCAGACGAGAGGGTGAGCGCCACCTGCATCGGTAGACATAAAGGCCGCTTGCTGGCGGTGGGGAAGCGTCGAGGGAAACTGGTGATGGCCAACATGCTGCTCGGGGATGCAGGGAAGGGGTCGTGGCGAAGTGGCGGGCGCGGAGGCAGTCGGCACTTGTGCGGTCGACCGACGTTTCCAAAGTGAGCTTACTGGTACAGTAACAGTACATGTATGAACAGTATGACGAAGCTGTCCTGTTCCGCCGCTGGACGTTTGAAAGTCTTAAAAAAAAGCAAGTTAAATACGTCGCATGTCGCAAACCTCGTGATCGCGGTGCAGCTGGGATTGTAACACACGGACGCGCACGAATCCCATGCGAAATACTTCTCCGGCCCGTTTCAAAATGATGATTGGGGTTTTTTATTGATCGCACATAACTGAATAATCTACTTCAATTGGATAAAAAAGACTTTGGTTTTGCATGGCTGCGGGCCACTAAAATTATGGTTGGCCTAGACTAAAGTCAACCCCGCATTTTGGGTTTTAGCACGATGCCCAGAACACCTGGAAAACAAGACATTACGCCTGAAACTCGTCTCAATGTGGTTGTGTTCCTTGCTGAACGGAGCGCTAACGGTAAATTGCTCCGTGGAGCAGTTTGTGCAGCTATGGAGGCTTTTGATATGTGTCGCAACAGCGTCAAGAAGATCTGGAAGTCGCGCCAAAAGGTCGGATTTATATCCGCCCAGAAGCGAGTGCAGCCCAAGCGCGGAAGGCGCCTGTCGGTGCAAGAAGTTATCGAGATCGTCCAAGGGGTGCCGCTTTGCCAGAGGCAAACCCAACGAGCACTGGCGGCTGCATCTGGTATACCACGCACTACGCTACAGCGGTATCTTGCTGATGGGACTCTACGTCGCGCATCTTCTCGTGTTAAACCTACTCTGACTGATGCTCACAAGACAAAACGACTACAATGGGTTTTATCGCATGTCGAGATGGCATTAGGTACTGTCACATCTCGAAAGTTATTATTACTCAACCTTTTAAATTGTTATAGCCATTAATTATCTTGTCTAAATTGTTTTGACTCAGGTGCCCGAATGTACCGCATGCATCACATGTACGATACTGTGCATGTAGATGAAAAGTGGTTTAACCTCTACAAAGGGGCCACAAGATATTACCTGACAGCCAATGAGCAGCTGCCTTATCGATCCTGTGCAAACAAGAGATACATAGGTAAAATCATGTTCTTAGCTGCTGTCGCACGTCCTCGCTACGACTTTCACAAGAAACAGTACTTTGATGGTAAGATTGGCATTTGGCCTATTGTTAAAAAGGTCGAGGCGGTTCGTAGCTCCGTTAATCGTCCTAAAGGTACGCTAATTACGAAGAGTGTGTCTATGACACGAGCTCTTTACCGCGAACTACTTGTCGAAAAAGTATTTCCAGCAATTCGATCCAAGCTGCCAGGTATTTTTTTCAAGTGTTATTTTTTATTGCTGTAACTCAATTATTTTTTTTGTTCTTAGTTCGCAGAGGCTCGACCGTGGTCGTCCAGCAGGACAATGCAGGGCCTCATGTTTTAGAAGGTGATGCTCAGCTAGAACATGCTGGAATGGTTGATGGATGGAAGATAAAGATGCGCTGCCAGCCGCCTCGGTCACCCGACCTAAATGTACTTGATTTGGGATACTTCTCGTCTATTCAAGCTCTACAGTATCGAAAATCTGCCTACGACTCTGACAGCCTTATTACGGCGGTTGAGGAAGCTTTCGACGAGCTCAGGTGGCAAACCCTTGACAAGTGTTTTATCACTTTGCAGAAAGTGATGGAGTCTATTATGATTAGTGGTGGGGGCAACGATTTCAAGCTTCCGCGCGTTAGTAAACATATTGGACGTAATGCGCGAATGCCAATGTCGGTTGTAGTCGACACCGATGCGGTTACGAAAGGATATAGTCAGCTGTATGCGTAAATTTGAAGTTAATTGAGCCTTTTGTTGCTCGTAATTATCATTATAATTTTTAGGCAATCACTGATTGGTCAATATAAATAGTTGGTTTACACAAATGCTCTCGACTTCCG